ACGTATTCCCTGTTTACATCTGCTTCTTCCCTGGTGATCATGTTTCATTAAACACATCACTGTCCGCCTCCTGGCTCAAACTAAAAACATGGAAATTATCCTTGATTCCTGTCCTGTCTTCTTTCCCCACATTCAGTGTTTCTCTCTGTTCCAGAACATGCCATGCTCATTTTCAGCCAAGGACTTTTGCAGGAGACATTCTTTGCCTGGAATGCTTGCCATTTGATCTTCACTTACCTGGCTCTCGTTATTCAGATGTCAGCTTAATGTCACCTCATACAGAGGCTTTCGATAAACAACTATCATTGCCTTGGAAGATAAAGATAGTGTTTCTCTCTGGGGCAGATGGCAATGAGTTAACCAAACCCCTGAGTGTAGCTCTGTGTCAGGAAGCAAGGCTTTGAAGTTACTTTTCAGTTTTAAGTGACGGCTGGTAGCCCAGGCTCAAGTAGACAGCCTTGAGTTGGTTTTTGTGTAGCCCCAACCCTATTTCTTGACTCCTGATGATGTGGAAAACGTTGGAGTTCAGAGCTGACGGCCAAGAAAGAATTCTTGACACATCTTTGGTACCAAACGGGGGTTTATTAAAGCATGGGGACAGGATCTGTGGGCAGAAAGAGCTGCACTGGGGTTGTGAGGAGTGACTAGTTATATATCTTCAAGCTGGGATGGGGTTGGGGATAGCAGAAGTCTCTAAGGTATTTTGGAAACAAGGTTTCCAGGACCTTGAGGGGGTTAGCTGTCATTGGGAAAAGGTCCTTTACTACTACTGTTTAGTAAAAACTGTCGCGAGGCCCTTCAGATGTGTATCGGGGGCCATAAGCTTGGAGTTTGATTGTCAACAAGTATCTCAGGGGGTTTGTTTCCAAAGGAATTCCAGAAATTCCAAAGGAATTTTTATATGTGAAAGTAGACTTATAGGATCCCGGGGCGGGGGCAGGGGGAGAGATGGTCAGGCTGAGATTGCCTTTTGCCCTTAGCAAAGTGTCATCATCGAGGCAGCCGACACCTCACAGAAGAAGGTCCCTCAGTCTGTCTCAAGGACTTGTCGATGGGCTGTAGGTAGTAAGGACATTTAATATCTCATGTGCCTTTGTTTCCCACATCACTGACACCATGCGTTTTAGCTCTGGGGTATCTTGACTAATTGGCTGCTGCTGTGGGGCTTGTTGGTGCACCTGCCAGCCTGACACCCCTTCTTCCTCCTGCTCAGAGGAAGATGAAGAACAGCCCAACACCGTTGGGCAGGTTGCTTCAACCTTAACTCTCATCCTGAGCCTCACTGACAGAACAGTGGGGACCCTTGCTCATTAGCTGGGTGAGAGCATTTGCTACCAGATCCCAGGGAGCCTCTTATCTCCCAACCCAGCCCACAAAGGGTCCTCATACTTCCTCTTCCAGAAAGCCGTATTTCTCTTTTTTAAAAAACATTTTTAATGTTTTATTTATTTCTGAGAGAGAGAGAGGTAACGAGAGCAGGGGAGGGTCAGAGAGAGAGGGAGACACAGAATCTGAAGCAGGCTCCAGGTTCTGAGCTCTCAGCACAGAACCTGATGCGGGGCTCGAACCCACAAGCTGTGAGATCATGACCTGAACCAAAGTCAGACGCTTAACCGACTGAGCCACCCAGGCACCCCCAGAAAGCCACATTTCTGCCAGCATCTTGTTCTCATTGTCTAAACTGTTAATGACTGTCAAAGATCTGAGATTTGTGGCCCACCTGCAGGCTAACAAGTTTGCTTGCCCCCGTTTCATGGACTCTGACAGAAGACACGAGAACCCTGGGTCAGAGACAAAGAACTTCATCGCTCATGGCCCAGCAGGCGGCAAGAATTCATGTTTGCCTTGGCTTCCCTTGACTCCAAGTCCCACTGGCTGATGTTAAGAAGCCTGGTGAATGTTCTGCATGTAGTAGTTTTGTGTCACAGCTGAGGAACCCCAGTACTTTAAGGAACATTTACATGGGGCACAAATACCTTCACACTCTGACCGTTTTACATAGTTGTTCCCTAGAATTCACTTTTACCAATCTTCATGTTTTGTTTTTCTTTCAAGTCTCTGGTCAGGTGGCCAACCTGTTAGATGTTGCTTGTGAGTCGTGCAGATAGTACCTCAGGCAATCTCTTTCCAAACAAAGTATATGATTTGTGTGTTTCTTGGGGTGCTTCTTACTGGAGAGATTTTTTCGCTAATCCCTGACTTGGAAGCCACCGCTGATTGGGTTGTAGTGGAGAGGCCATTCTCTTCCTTTTAGAGATGGACTGGACCACAGATCCAAGCCTGTACATTTTCTTCCTCTGTTAATTGTTCAGAGGGAACTCACCAGGAGGCTGTAGGTGTGGGGGTGAGAGGAAGAGATGGAATTGCATGTGGAGCAGTCTCTTAGCCACCCATATATGCAGGTGTATACTAGGTGGTTTAGACAACATCCCATTTGTGTTGGGCCATTTGTGTGACACGTAGGTGTCCCATGGTAACATTCAGTGTCTGCCAGCTCTCAGAAGCAAGCCAGGAACTGCTTTTCAAACACAGAAAGGAAATCAGCACAAGGGGCCACCAGCTTACAATGAATATCTAGGATCTCAGACTCCTAAGGGGGAAAAATCATTCTAAATCTGATTACAAATACATCAAGAGACTTCAGGACCAACTTTTTATTTTGTAACAAAGGTAAAAATGCCAAAAAGACTTGTCATTTAAGAGGTTTGGAGAAATTCTTTTGTACCAAGCTCTACCAAATTTTAGTATTAATTGGTAAAATAAACACAAGAGAGCTAAACTTAAATTCAATTTCACTTACACTTCTAATTAAAATGAACCTTGTGATAAATAAAATTATTTTTTAAATTTGAGGTTAAATGATGGCTACTTCTTTTTTCGTGTGTTTGCCACAGCATGAAACACAAATACAAGCATAGCACATTAACCAAATCAAAACGTTGTATTTCTACTTTAACAAAAAACTAGATTGTATGTAACTGTCTAAATTTCTTATACTTGTCTTGTAGGTCAAATCCCTATTCTATTATTTAAAAGTATGTAAATATAAACATAGTTATATGCATCTACATGAATTATAATTTAAATAATTGGTATCCAACTACATTGTTCTTTTTTAGAAAAATCATTTTTAGGCGTCCCTGGACAGCTCAGTCAGTTGAGCTTCAGACTCTTGGTTTCGGCTCAGGTCATGATCTCCATGGTTTCATGGGTTTGAGCCCACACCGGGCTCTGTGCTGGCAGTTCAGAGCCTATTTGGGATTCTCCCCCCACTGCCGCCCCCCTTTCTCTGCCCCTTGCTCACTAGTGCTGTCTCTGTCTCTTTCAAAATAATAAACAAATACATTTTTTAAAGTGTTTTATTTTTGAGAGGAAGAGAGAGGCAGAGTGCGAACAGGGGAGGTTAGAAAGAGAAAGAGACACAGAATTTGAAGCAGGGCCCAGGCTCTAAGTTGTCAGCATAGAGCCCAATGTGGGACTCAGTCTCACAAGCTGTGAGACCATGACCTGAGCCAAAGTCGGGCACTCAACAGACTGAGCTCCCCAGGTGCCCTTATACTGATCCTTTTATTTAACTTTAGGCACAGTGTTGCACATTGCAGGGCCTATAGATTTAACCCAGTTTTATTATCTGTGTAAAGCTTTAAGAAATTATTGTATTTATGGGGCACCTGGGTGGCTCAGTCAGTTAAGTGTCTGACTTCAGCTCAGGTCATGATCTCACGGTTCGTGGGTTCAAGCCCTGTGGTGGGCTCTGTGCTGACAGCTCAGAGCCTGGAGCCTGCTTGGGATTCTGTGTCTCCCTCTCTCTGCCCCTTCCCCACTCATGCTGTGTATCTCTCTGTCTCAAAAATACATAAACATAAAAAATTAAAAAAAGAAATTATTGTATTTCTGGTAATTTCTTAATATTAAGTTATTGTATTGCATCTGAATATTAATTACTTATCTTTTCTCAGCTTCTTAATTGGCTTTGTGCTATAATATTGAATTTATTCATTAATATATCTTTGTTGGTTAATATAAACTTTTTAAAGTTTATTTATGTATTTTGAGAGAGAGAGAGCCCACATGCATGCTCGTTAGTCAGGGAGGGGCAGAGAGAGGGAGAGAGAATCTAAAGCAGGCTCTGCACTGTCAGTACGAGCAAGATGCAGGGCTCGAATTCCCACTGTGAGGTCATGATCTGAGTGGAAGTCAGACACTTAACCGACTGAGCCACCCAGGCAAATTTTAAAGAAATTAAAATCGAGAGAGATTAAAAAAAACTAGTGCCTAGCCACCACATAGTGCTCATGGGTCTTTTTAACCTCTACATTCTTGTCTACATAGAAGCATTTTCTTCTGTAGAACATTCACATTAAGATAATAAAATCAGTCAATGTATTTTCTTATAAAACATTTGATAAGGTTATGTTTTAGCAGTGAGAGTTTGAAAGGTTTAAATAAGTACTGTCATGAAAAACATTGTCTTGGCTATCAGATAATGTGAATGTCATACCACGGTTGTGAAATAATAAGAAAAACATGTGTATATATTCATTAGTCTCTGCCCCTCCCATCCCTGTTCTTGGCACAGAGTTCCTGAAATTCCTTGTTATCTCTTACGTAATAAGAATACTAGAAACATCCTTTCTTCTAATGTTTGGTCTTTGATCCTGGTTCCTGGCACAGGGCTCCTAAATCCCTTGGAGTGTTCTGGGTGTCAGCAGTGCCCTTTGTTCTAATGAGGAGACTCAGGGTGGGCTCCTGGGTGTGGGCTGGTCACCAGAAAGATGGAGCCCTGATTAGAAGCTTGGAATTTTAGCGCCATCCTTATTCTCTAGAAAGGGAGGAGGGGCTGGAAGTGGAGTTAATGACTGAGCATGCCTAGATGATGAAGACTCTATAAAAATCTCCAAAGTCCAGCTTTCACAGAACTTCTGGTTTGGTGAACTCATTCATGGTACATCCCAAGTCCATGGGGACAGGAGTGCATCCCAAGTCCATGGGGACAGGAGCTCCTACACTCAGGACCTTCTCAGACCTTGCTCCCATATATCTCTTCATTGGGCTATTCATCTGTACCCTTTATGATATCCTGTATTACATAATAAACTGGTAAGTGTAATCAAGTGTTTCCCTGAGTCCTGTATGTCTTTCTATAGAGCAAATTACTGAACCCAAAAAAAGTCATGGGAACGCCTGATTTATAGGTGATTCGCCAGAAGCTCAGGTGAAAACGTGGGCTTGTAATTGGCACCTGATGTGAGGGCAGTCTTGGGGACTCAGCCCCTCACTTGTGGAATCGAATACTAACTCCGGGTTAGTGTCAGTCCTGGACTGGTGGGTTGTTTTTAACAGCTTGTGTCTCAGAGGATTGCATTATGGGTGGGAAACCCACATGACTGCTGTCAGAAGGGAAGTCTACTGTCAGAAGGTGGTCATGTGAGTTACACACCTGATAGGAGTGGGCTTTTCCTTTACGAAGTACGTTGAGTTTTTTTTAAGTTTATTTATTTTGAGAGAGAGATAGAGAGAGCGAGGGAGGGGCAGAGAGAGAGGGCAAGAAAGAGGGAGAGAGAGAGAATCCCAAGTAGGCTCAGCACTGTCAGCACAGAGCCCCACATGAGGCTTGAACCCATGAACTGTGAGATCATGACCCAAGTGGAAATCAAGAGACCAGAAGCTTAACCAACAGCCACCCAGGCACCCTGACCCCCCTTTTTTAAATTTAAATTTAAATATTTATTTATTTATTTAAAAATTGCTTTTATAGTTTTTATTTTTGAGACAGAGAGAGACAGAGCATGAGTGGGGGAGGGGCAGAGAGAGAGAGAGGAAGACACAGAATCTGAAACAGGCTCCAGGCTCCCAACTGTCAGCACAGAGTCTGTCGCGGGGCTTGAACCCATGAACCGCGAGATCATGACCTGAACCGAAGTTGGACTCTCAACCAACTGAGCCACTCAGGTGCCCCAAATTTAAATTTTTAAAAATGTTTTTATTCACTTAGCATAAGTGAGTCAAAGAAAGACAAATATCATGTTTTCACTCATATGTGGATCTTGAGAAACTTAACAGAAGACTGTGGGGGAAGGGAAGGTGGAAAAATAGTTACAGACAAAGAGGGAGGGAGGCAAACCATAAGAGACTCTTAAATACAGAGAATGAACTGAGCGTTGATGGGGGGTGGGGGAGAGGGGGAAAGTGGGTGATGGCATCGACAAGTGCACTTTAGCCAATTTGACAATAAATTGTATTAAAAACATAAATAAACATTAAAAAATACATTCATACCCAAAAAAAGTTTTTATTCATTTTTGAGAAAGTGAGAGACAGAGAGAATGAGAACGAGTGGGGGAGGGGCAGAGAGAGAAGGAGAGAGAGGATCCAAAGCAGACTCTGAGCTGTCAGCACAGAGCCCAATGTGGGGCTGGAACTCATGAACCGTGAGATCATGACCTGAGCCAAAGTCAGATGCCTAACTTGACCGAGCCACCCAGGCGCCTCCACCCCTTTTTTTAAATGTGTAGAATTGAGGGGCGCCTGGGGGGCTCAGTTGGTTAAGCATCCGACTTCGGCTCAGGTCATGAGCCCCGTGTCGGGCTCTGTGCTGACAGCCAGCTCAGAGCCTGGAGCCTGCTTCAGATTTTGTGTCTCCTTCTCTCTCTGACCTTCCCCTGCTCACGCTGTTTCTCTCTCTCTCAGAAATAAATAAAAACATTAAAAAAAATTTAAATGTGTAGAATTGATTTGGGAGAACTAGAGGATGAAGAAATGAAAATTCACCTCTGGTTTTGCAGTCTATGCTCAGGGTGTAGTGATTAAGAGTCTTTTTGTTTGTTTGTTTCTGTGTATTCTGCCCAGGTAGCAAAACACTGCTTCCTCAGAGCCGGGGCTCTTGAGGCCGACTCAGCTATGGTTTTGGGCACCTCATGAATTGTAAAAACAGGAGTTTCTCACTTCTGGATGAATAAACATTTCTCAGATTCTTTTCTTACTTTCTGTTTTGGTTGTTATAAAATGGTTCGCTTGGTTAATGACACCTCCAAGGCTGTGGCCATTTCTGTGCACAGTTCTCTTCATTCTTATATTAACATCTCACTTTTCGCCCCTGGCGATTCTATCACCTATTGCTCTTCTCCAAAATCAAATCCTGCATTCAGAGTTCTTGGAGGCTAATATGGTGTTTTGTTTTGCTTGTTTGTTTCACACCCACATCATCTCTGAGGCACCTTGGTGGCTGCTGGGTGACACCAAGCTTGGGTAGCTTATCACATGGCATCCATGAACAAAGGGTTCCATGAATTATTAGGGCGGCTGGCTTGCTCCATGTGCCCAGAGTTGTTTGATGCTATAGTAGGCACCATTCTGCTATCATGAGAGGGGAAGTAGGCGCATCCTTTCCTCGTGGGGGCTTTTGTAAATACTTGGGTTGACTTTTTACAAAGTGTTGTTAACGTGCTTACACTTTAGGGATCGTGTAAACCCTTACATCTTTATAGTACATTTATAAGTAACTGCTTATGACCAGTGATGGTCAGCAAGCAATTTCTTTTCTTTTCTTTTTTTATGTTTTATTTATATCTGAGAGAGAGAGACAATGTTAGCAGGGGAGGGTCAGAGAGAGAGGGAGACACAGAATCCGAAGCAGGCTCCAGGCTCTGAGCTGGCTGTCAGCACAGAGCCCACTGCGGGGCTTGAACCCACGAACCGTGAGATCATGACCTGAGCCGAAGTCGGGCGATTAACCGACTGAGCCACCCAGGCGCCCCTCAGCAAGCAATTTCTAAACGACATTATCTTTTAGTTTGCAATAACTTTGTCTATGAATAGTAATCAGGGCACATATTTGAAACCTCCCTATGTCTTTACTGCCTTGAGATTCAATGCTTTCCCTGCCCATTTCTTACAGGAAGGTGATGAAACATCCACATAGAACTTTGAAGAAGCCAAGGTGGCCAAGGGTTATGCCAGTCTATTTATCCCAACTACAGTGGCCAGATGTTCTATCCTTCATTTTTATGAAATATGAGTGCTAGAGCAAACAGAAGGCAAGGATTCTTCCCACATGAAATATGAATGGGTAGGCTCTTGAGATGTCTGGTCACTGATGCCCAGGTACTGGTGAAACATCCATGGGGTGCATAATGTAGTGAATTATTATAAGTGTTAAGGCAATTCATCCACAGGTTCAAGAAATCCTAATTCGGTGCATCCAAATCAAGGTGGATTCCCAGACAACATTGGTTGAGCTTTGCCGAGAGGGGTCTAACCAAGTCAAGCTGTTAGTCAGGCCTCTGTTTTAGATCCATGAGTGTCATCCTAAGGCAATATCATCCCTACCCATCTGAACAGTCACTTGTTATTAATCTCTGTTTTTCCTTAGACTTGAGACCAACAACCAGCCCACATTTTCCCTGGGGTTCAGGCTCATGGACAACTTACACAAAGCTGGAATGGTCTCTTGAGGCCAAAGGACAGCTGGGGGAGACCTACGGTAATCCTTACTATAGAATCCAAACACTTTCCAGACCTGCTGCAGGTAAGTTCCATGCTCTGACACCTGACGAAAGAAATTTCCAGCAGGACAGTACTCAACCCTGCCCATTTGTTTAAAAGAAAGCCTTGCTTCTGACTTCATCTCTTTGGTCCTAAGTTGTAATCTGGAGTTTAAGAATCAGTTTTGTACTAGGAAGTTGGGGTTAGGAAGAGCGTGGTTTAATTCCTTGTTGAGAAACACAAATGTTGAGTTCACGTCGGACATGTGTGAAAGGCAGTGCTGATTCTCTCCTAACTCCGGGTGGCTGCTTTGCCTACCTTGTGGTCATGGTGGTAGTGTTACCTTAGTGATAAAGGAGAACAGACTAATGTGGACATGTAGGAGGATTAAAAATAGCCACAGGGCTTTGCATAGAATTGTATGCATTTTCAGAACATACTCACATAATTTTTTCTTTTGTACCTTTCTGAAACTCGTGAAGAAACGTGAGGGAAGAGAATGAGACCAAGTGACACAACTGATATTGATCAGTTATTTACAAGGCATTGTCCTGGGGCACCTGGGTGGCTCAGTTGGTTAAGCATCTGGCTGGCTCAGGTCGTGATCTCACCGAGTTTGAGTCCCGTGTCGGGTTCTGTGCTGACAGTTCGGAGCCTGGAGCCTGCTTCGGATTCTGTGTTTCCCTCTCTCTCTGCCCCTCCCCTGCTCATGCTCTTTGTGTCTGTCTCTCAACAACAACAACAAAAAACAAAACACAAGGCATTGTTCTAAGCTATCTACACACAGTTATGACTACTTTATTTAAATTTATATATGCACAGGACAATAACTCCATAGGTATGACTACCACAGCCGCTTTACAGATGAGGAGACCAATGTCTCAATAAATTAATCAAGTCATCGAGATGAAGCTTCTAAGTGGCAAGGCTAGGATTGAAACCCAGAGCCTGCCTATCTTCAGGGCCCTGGCACATAATCACTGCCCTACACTGATTCTCTATAGAAAGAGAGGTAAAGGGCTCTGTGTGGTCTTAGAATGCAGTTTGGAACCCAATTAGCCATCTTAGAAACCTAGGTTTTCTGATTCTATTCAATTCTTTCCTTCTTTCTTTTCCTTCTTTTTTTCTTCCTTCCTTCCTTCCTTTCTTCCTTCCTTCCTTCCTTCCTTCCTTCCTTCCTTCCTTCCTTCCTTCCTTCCTTCCTTCCTTCCTTCCTTCTTTCCTTCCTTCCTTTTTCTTCTTTTCATTTTTTATTGGGAAGTGTAGCATACACAGGTCATAGTGTGTAAACACACACATATATTTTATATCAAACTATTTGAAATTGTCAATATATGCTCATATTTGACACATAGAAATGACAATTTCCTGATTTCCCATGCTATGTACTATTTAATGAACTAGTAAAGTTAAGGCAAACACGAGTACGAATACCACCAGCCAGTTCAAAGAACAGAGCATTGCTCCCCCACACACCCCTTCCTGTGGCATGTCCTTCCTGCCCCTCTGGGTAACACCACCCTGAGTTCTGTGGTAATCATTTCTTTTTCTTCTGTTGGCATCCCTAAAGAATATACCTTATTTTTGCTTGCTTATGTCATTATGTAAATGGATTGGACCACACCTTTTCTTTTGTGACTTACTTTTCTTATTCATTACTATGTTGGTGCAATTGGGCTAGCTTGATCACCCAGTTATAGTTTTTTTTTTTTTTAATATTTTTATTTATTTCTAGGAGAGAGGGAGAGAGACAGCATGAGCAGGGGAGGGTCAGAGAGAGAGGGAGACACAGACTCTGAAATAGGCTCCAGGCTCTGAGCTGGCAGTCAGCACAGAGCCCGACACGAGGCTCGAACCCATGAACCGCGAGATCATGACCTAAGCAAAAGTCGGACACTTAACTGACTAAGCCACCCAGGCGCCCCCACCCAGTTATAGTTTTGGAGGGTTGTTGTATAATATTACATTTATGAATAAACCACTGTCTCTTTATCCATTCTACTATTGAGGAGCATTTGGGCTGTTCCTGGATTTGAGCTAAGAAACGCATAATTTATGGGAATGTTCTTGCCTATGTATCCTGGTGCACTTGGCTAGAACCTCTTCAAGCATAGGGTATGTACTTATGGGTGGAATTAGTGAGTGCAAGAAAAGACCAAGTTGCCAAACGACTCTGTACTCAGCAAGTACAACTTAAATCGAGTTTCCTTTGCTCCATGTTCTCTCTTACACGTGGTGTTATCAGACTCTAACATTTTATTTTTGTTTTGTGAGGGTGTGCAATGGTACATCCTTGTGGTTTTAATGTGCATTTCTCTGGTTATTAAAGAGGTTGAGCAATTTCTCATGTCATTATTGACTATGTGGATTTCCCCTTTGCCCTTTGGGAAATGCCTGTTCATGTCTTTGCCACTATTTTGTTTTATTTTTTCCATCTCTCTTTATGTGCATATGTTCAGAAAAATTTGTTAAATGTTTCTGGATATTATTCTTTTGTCAGTTACACATCACATATATATGAGTTTTAGTTCGTAGCTTAGCTTTTCACTCTCTTTATAATGTCTTTAGGTGAACAGACTTGAAAAATTTTAACGTATGAGTACTGTTAATAATTTTCGTGTCCTTTCCTATGCCAAGATCATGAAGGTATTCTACCACATTGTCCTGTAAGATCTTTATATCTTTGCCTCTTACATCTGGGTTTTTAATATTTAGGGAACTGAGTTTTGTGTATAATGTCAGGTAGCGGGGGTGTGGTTGCTCCAGTGCGATTTATTTTATTTTATTATTTATTTATTTTTTAATGTTTAATTTTATTGAGAGAGAGAGCACAAGCAGAGGAGGGGCAGAGAGAGAGGGAGACAGAGAATTCCAAGCAGGTTCGGAGCCATCAGCACAAAACCCAATGGGGGGTTTGAACTCACGAACTGTGAGATCATGACCTGAGCCAAAGTTGGATGCTCAACTGACTTAGCCTCCAAGGCGCCCCTAGTGTGATTTATTTTAAAAGCCCATCCTTTTCCCACTGAAACACATCACCACTTCTTTTATCAGTTTTCCATTGCTTTCTCCCCCTATAGGTGTTCAATGTTCCCTGTTCAAATTAGAGAACCATGGAATTATTATTATTTAAAAAAATTTAAATATAATTTATTGTCAAGTTGGCTTCCATACAATGCCCAGCACTCATCCCAACAAGTGCCCTCCTCAATGCCCATCACCCATTTTCCCTTCTAAAATTTTTAGTGTTTATTTTTGAGAAAGAGAGCACAAGTGGAGAGTAATGCAGAGAGAGAGGAATAAAGCAGGCTCTGCACTATCAGTGAAAAGCCTGATATGGGACTTGAACTCATGAACCATGAGGTCATGACATGAGCTAAAGTTGGACGCTCAACCAACTGAGCCACCCAGGCACCCTTGGAGGTTTTTAAAATGTTTATTTATTTTTGAAAGAGAGAGAGAGAGAGCAAGAACAGGGAAAGGGCAGAGAGAGAAGGGGACAGAGGATCCAAAGCAGGCTCTACACTATCAGCAGAGATCCCTATGCAAGGTTTAAATTCACGGACCATGAGATCATGATCTGAGCCAAAGTCAGACTCTCAGTCGACTGAGCCACCAGGCGCCCCTGAGAACAATGGAATCATTGACTCTGTATACCCATTCTTTCCTCTTCTCATTGATGGTTTCCATGTGGTTATTTTACAGTTGTGGTATTACAAAAACACTAAAGTACAATCAGTATCGAGTATTCCTTGAGTCAGTCCTAGGCAGACTACCACATTCGTGATTTGTAAGTTCTCTGGGATGCCATGCCCCAGCTCCTGCCTTGTTCAAATCACACAGATTAGGGCCACTTATGGGTGACCGCTCCCAATACCTGCCTCTCAAGGTTTTGATACTCTGGGGGGAACATAAAGATGATTCAAGTCATGGAGAATGAACCATAGGCACCTACATGCAGAAGTCATGTATTGGACCCAGAGGCAAGAAGACCTGAGTCTTTTCTGTAGCTACTTTCTGTGTGAACTCAGGCTGACTTGTGTTCTGATTTGCTGGACTACAGGAATCCAATGACTCTCTGCTAGAATTCTGTGGGACTCTATCACCATCTTTCTACGTGACCATATGTATCACATATACATATATAGATTTTAGTCTCTTTTTCTCTGCCTCCAGAGCCCATTTGGACAGATGCAGTGCTTAATAGACAACTGATTTCTTGCCCTGGAGGAAGAACTGGAAAGAAGTTCTCCCGTGTGGGAAGAGTTGGTGAAAAGGTGATGAGGAAGGGTGAAGGCCACCCAGTCTGTGCACCCTTCTTCCTGTCCCAGTCACTATAAAGCTCTGTAACAATACCTGTGCCCCTTCCAAATGGTTTCCTTCACTTGGAAACAAGGATACAATACCTACCTCATTTACGTTATAGACCTGTTTGGAAGATCAAATGAAATATCAAAAATATAAATAATGAAGTATTTAAAAAATGGAAGCAGTTAGATGTGCATTCACTGGGTACCTACTCTGAGCCTGCAAACAAGTAACACATAACCAGTGCCTGCCCTCACAGAGCTCACGGTCCAGAACTTCAAGAGACAACAGCGTGAAGCCTGCTTCCCAGTAATTCCACTTGTATGACTTTGGACAAGTCTTGTAACTTCTCTGAGCCTGAGCTTTTTATTCATAGAAAGAGGCAAGGAAAGATAAAGTACACAGCAGATAAGATCTCTTCTAAAAGTCCCCGGTTCTGTGCCTTTGGACAGACTAGAGCTAGAGACCTCATCTTTTTTGCCTCCTTAAAAGAGTCGTTGTCAGGGTCAAGTGGGATGTGCAGGAGCACTTGGAAATCCTAAGGGGCTGCATGACTGTGACATGTGCTTATGACATCTTCCCTGACCCCACTCCTGATGCGAGTGGGTGTCAGGACAAGCTGTATAATTTATGTGGCCCATTGCAAGATGAAAACTGGGCCCCTTGTTAAGAAAGTATTAAGAGGAGCACCTGAGTGGCTCAGTCAGTTAAGCATCCGACTTTGGCTCAGGTCATGATCTTGCAGTTTGTGGGTTTGAGTCCCACGTCGGGCTCTGTGCCCACAGCTCAGAGCCTGGAGCCTGCTTGAGATTCTGTGTCTCCCTCTCTCTCTGCCCTCCCCCACTCATGCTCTGTCTCTCAAAAATAGATAAACATTAAAACAAAACAAAACAAAAAATATTAAGAATTGCAGGAGAGAGAGGAGGCTGGGTGGCTCAGTCAGTTGAGCGTCTGACTTTGGCTCAGGTCATGATCTCAGGGTTTGTGAGTTCGAGACCCATGTCAGACTTGCTGCTATAGGCACAGAGCCCGCTTTGGATCCTCTGTCCCTCTCTCTCTGCCCCTCTACCACTCATCCTCTCTCTCTCTCAAAAATAAGTAAACATTAGGGGCACCTGGGTGGCTTAGTCGGTAAAGCCTCCAACTTTTGCTCAGGTCATGATCTCACGTTCGTGGGTTCGGGCCCCATGTCTGTGCTGACAGCTCAGAGCCTGGAGCCTGCTTCGGATTCTGCATCTCTCTGTCTCTCTGCCCCTCCCTCTCTCATGCTCTGTCTCTGTCTCAAAAATAAATAAAACATTTAAAAAAAAGTAAACATTTAAAAAAAAAAAGAATTGCAAGAGGGCAACATCAGAGCATGAAACCAAATGCAGGGACCTTCTGGGTGTGGAGCCTTGTGTGATGGCATAGATCCCCAGCTCAGGGATCCAAGCCCTGGTGTTTTTGTGATTTCCCAGGCCACATGCACATCTGCTCTCCTGGCATCCCATGGAGGTCTGTAGGATTGTGACCTCTCCAATGTTCTTTTTACTCATCCAGCGCAATACACAGTGGCCAGTCATGTAAGTCTTTACCCACTTAGGAAGCGAGGGAGCTCATGGGATGGGGCAACATACCAAAATGTAAGTGATCTTTGTTTCAGTTTCATTTTTAATTACATAGTCGTGTTTTTGATCTACTTTACTGACGGGTCCTCTCGACTTGACTGACTTCAGATTTCTGCCTCGAACAGTTTTGAACAGTCCCTTGGGCTCTCCATTGGTGTGGGCTAACTTCTCCCTCTGCGGGCCGCATCCTGTGTTCAGTCCCCCTGCCCACTCTAGAGCTGCTTCGGCTTTCTTCAGCTCCGTTTGGACTTTGAGTGCTTAAGAACCTTTCCTTCAGACATTTCCTGGTACCTTCTCAGTCCCCGAGGTTCCCAACTTTTTCCTGGAACAGAGATACTTTCGTAAGACTGCTGGAATTGGGGCTTTCCGACACCCAGCTGCGGGTTAGGGCACGTGGGGGGGGCCCCCATGTGAGGCGTCAGGGCTTTGAAGGAAGTGCTAACTGCAATAAATAGGCCTGGCAAAGGATAAATGGGTTGTAAAATTAAATAGTCACTGCATGTTATCTAACCAGGCTAGCTAGCTACCCAGCAGAGATACCCAGAGGCATTTGAACATGGATGGAAGTTTGAGCTAGCCAGTCTTAAGAGATTTACAACTCTGAGATCTGGTGATTCTGTGTTAGCAAATTGTTATCAGATTGGCTCCTCCTTTATCTCTGTTTAAAAATCTCTTGGGGCGCCTGGCTGGCTCAGTCAGTTGAGCGTCCAACTTTGGCTCAGGTCATGATCTCACGGTTCGTAGGTTCAAGCCCCACGTTGGGCTCTGTGCTGACAGCTCAGAGCCTGGAGTCTGTTTTAGATTGTGTGTCTCCTTCTCTCTCTGCCCCTCCCCCACTCATGCTCTGTCTTTCTAAAATAAATAAACATTAAAAAAATTAAAAATCTCTTAAAGTGTGAATGGGCATAAAGGGAGGTTTGAGGGTGATGGAATGTCCTAAAATTGGACTGTGGTGATAGTTGCACAGTTTTGTAAGTTTTCCCAAAATCATTGAACTGTATGCTTAAAATGGATGAATTTATGGTATGTATATTATACCTCAATAAATGTGTTTCTTCAAAGTCTCTTAAGCCCGTATACTGACATATTCGTAAAATAATATATTGATTTTACATTATACATTAAATGGTTTAAAGTATATGCTAAGACAGGATGTTTTGAAGAGACTTTAAGAGATTTTAGGATTCAAATATGTAAATATTTTTCTAAGCATTAAATATAATGCTTAGAAAATTATCTAGTATATATTAAAATGATGTAGGGGCACCTGGGTGGCTCAGTTGGTTAAGTGTCTGACTTCGGTTCAGGTCATGATGTTGTGGCTCATGAGTTCGAGCCAGGCATTGGGCTCTGTGCTGACAGCTCAGATCCTGAGCTGCCTCGGGTTCTGTCTCCCTCTCTCTCTCTGTCCCTCTCTTGCTCACACTCTCTCTTTCTCAAAAATAAATAAACATTCAAAAAATTATTTTAAATGATGTAAACTTGAAATAACATGAATCAACCCTGGGACTAATAGCTTATTCTTTTAAAATTACTTAATTTAAAGTTTATTTATTTATCTTGAGAGAGAGCATGAGAGGAGCAGAGTGAGAAGGAGAGAAAGACAATCCCAAGCACACTCCACACTGTCAGCACAGAGCCTGACGTAGGGCTTGAACCCACAAACCATCAGATCATGAACTAAGCCCAAATCATGAGTCAGACGCCCAACTGTCTGAACCACCCAGGCCCCAGAAATTACCTAGTTTTAAATTAGCATACAGTACAATTCATTTTGAGAGTGTATCATTCTATGGATTTTCACAAATGAATACAGTCATAGAAGCATCACTGTGATCAAACAGTTCCATCGCTACTGAAGCTCCCTTGCGCTACTCGAGTCCAGTCAACCCCTCTTCCCACCTGCAAACCTTGGCAACCATTGACTTGTTCTCTTTGCCTACAGTTTTGCCTTTGCAAGGACATTTTATGATGTATAAAATTTGGAAAGATTTTCCACCTTGACCATTATCTACTTTACTTTTTAAAGTTGAGATTGAGATATAATTGACAGATCACATCGTATTGGTTTCAGGTGTACAACATAATGATTGATATTTGGATATATTGTGAAATGATCACCTCAATATATCTATAGTATCCATCACCTCACACGGTGAGGACCTTTGACCTCCTGCACCCATTTTGCCCACCCTTGTCTCTGGCAACCACCAATCTGTTCTCTCTATCCATCAGTTTGTTTTGTTCGTTTTGTTTAGATTTCACATTTAAGTGAAATGAGGCAGTATTTGTCTTTCTCTGTCTCACTTATTTTACTGAGCATATGCCCTCAAGGTCCATTCACGTTGTGGGATTCACATTTTTTAATTATAAAAATAATGGCTACTTTAGGTGGTAGGAATTTCCCTGCTGATAACGAGTCAGATTGAGAAGGGCCAGGCAGTCACAGACAGGATGAGACTCGTCTGAGTTCAACCACACGTATAGGCTCCCAGGCAGTTAGAACCGGAAGGAACTTCTGGGTTATTTAAGCAAAATCTTAATTATAGATAGGAAGAAACCAAGGTCCAGAAGGGAAGAGTGGGTCTCAAGTTTGTGTAACCACCTGCTCTGTGGACCTAGCCCTCAGTTTCTTAGGAGTCAGCCTCAGTGTGCTTGCGACTCCTCCATACCGTGCCTGATACTGTTGGCTTTGTCTGACAGTTCTAGCAGATCCTGCCTATCTGCCACACCCATGATTCCTGATGATCAAAATAATGCTATTATATATCACTAATACCAGAAGAAAGGATGGTCTGGGATGATCATCTCATTAAGTTCACTTCTGACTCTGCATCATGAAACTAACATACTCGCTAACATTTATCTGATGGCTGTTCCTTCTGGTATTAGGGAAAGTACCCAGGAGAACACACAATCCAGAATCAAGTCATTTTAAAAGGTGAGAACTGGAAGGGCTCTTAGAAATCATTGGGGGTGGTTCTGAGTCATCTCCAGAGTCCCCACCTGAGACATCTCAGTAGAGCGATAAGGGGTAAAGTCTATGGTTATCATTCTTCTTGAAGGGCTTTCTTTAACATTTCTTATTGATCTGCTCAGCTTTTGCATGTCTGATAAATTCTTCATGTCAGTTATGTTTTTGAAAGCTATTTTCAAAAGGTGTCTACACCTATCGAAATCTACAATCTAGATGTCTAAATCTAGATTGATAGTTTTTGTCCCTCACTTTCAAGATGTTGCTGCACTGTCTGCTGTCTGGCACTGTCTTCACTGAGAAGCCTGCTGTCATTTTATTTTTATTCCTCTGTATACAATGGGTCTTTTATCACTGGCTACTTTTTAAAGAAATGTTTATTTATTTATTTTGAGACAGAGAGAGAGGAAGCACAAGCAGGGGAGGGGCACAGAAAGAGGGAGAGAGAGAGAGAATCCCAAGCATGCTCTAACTTGGGGCTCAAACCCACAAACCGTGAGATCATGACCTGAGCTGAAATCAAGA